AATCCGTTTATATAAAAAAATATTAACATCTACCGAAACTGGGTGAATTTAAATCATTCTGGTGTATTTTGCAAAACAACATTTAATCAAAAGAAGTAAATAAGCTGCTAAGTTTGGCCGGGTCGAACTTTTAATACCTTCCATCATATGGAAGGGACTTGATAATTTTCAAAAAGACCATTTAAATGATGACCTTTATATGAGGGCTGTACTAAGACGTGGATCTGCAACAATATTAAGCAACATAATAAAGTGCATGAAATCCGGTTTTATAAAAAATATTAAAATCAGCCGAAACTGGGTGAATGAAAATCTTTCTGGGATATATTACAAACAAAATTAAACAAAAACAAGCAAAAAAGCAGCTAAGTTCGGCCGGGCCGAACTTTTAATACCCTCCACTATCTGGAGGGAACTTGAAAATTTTTAAAATACAGTTTAAATGAAGACCTTTATACGGGGATATAAAAAGAAGTTTGACCTGCAAAAACAATTTTTTTAATAGGTTGTAGTATCCATTAAAATATTCAAATACGAAATTTAAAACAATTCCGACGTTTAATGTCGCTAATACCGCATAAAGGGAGGTACTGTTATATGGGGCTACACAAAGACCTGGACCTGTATACGAAACTTTTTGTCATAAACTGTAATACCCATTACAAACATAGAATACGACATTCGGGTGAATGATGTCGCTATAATCATAAAAATACCGAATATCGGGATGTACCGTAAAATGGGGGCTATACGACGACGTGGATCTGTGTACAAAATGTGTAGGCATAGGCTGTAGTACCCATTACAAACTTCGAATGCGAAATTTGAAACAATTCGGGTGAATGATGTCGCTAAAGTCATCAAAATACCGAACATCGGGAGGTCCATTTACGAACTTAACTTGCCTACTGGCAAAATACATATTTGTGAAAAATTTAAACCTTCTATCTCGTTCGAAAGATAGCATGATTACAACAGACGGACAGACAGACGGACATTGCTAAATCATTTTAAAATTTTATGCTGATCCAGAATATATATACTTTATAGGGTCTTTCATGATTATTTCGAGGAGTTATAAACGGAATGACAAGGCTAATATAACCTCCACAGAATAGTGGAGGGTATAAAAATTTTAACATTAATTCCTTACTTTTCTAAACACACATTTTTTTTCCAAAAATGCAGAAAAAACGGCCTAAAATTCGGGTTTTTTAAAAAGTTTTTAAATCTACAAAAAGTGAGTAAATTATATTGGAAATGGTATCAGAAAACATTAACTAAACATTAGAATTATATCGCTTCAAAATTTTTCTAATTCAAGGCCCTCGATAACTCTAACACCTTTCCTTAAATTTTCTATGATCAAAATTTATGTGATGCTCTTTTCCTGCTTATGCTTTTTGGGGGTTCCTTTGGTTTGAGTTTTTTTTATTGTAATTTGTGGATTTCGATTTTTTCGGTTTTAACTCAATATAGCTTGGCGAACATTCATAGCTGTATGGTGTTTTTTTTTTTTTTTATTTGTTGCCACCCATGATGTTAGCCACACCGCTGCAGTAGAAGAGCAAATTGAAAAGAAAACCAACATGATTTGCATGATTTAGCATAGCGCTACGAAAGATGATGATGATGACGCTGACGATGACGTCTGTTATATCTGAAGAGCAGCAAACCAAAGCGAGAAGAGTAACAAAAAAAAAAAAAAAAAGGAAATAAAAGTTCATGTGTGGTCTCGAGAAAAAGTCAATTTCTTTAACAAGTGATATTTCATTCGACATGACACTTAAACGTAAACAATGTGTTTTTTTTTTCAGCATTTCTTACAAATCCACCAGGCCACAGCCCATTCGAGGTTGGCCATGACCAGCAAATGGTCTGGCAAAAATTGTTGGCAGGCAGCAATATGATATGACGAATTGTAACCTAAACCATTTAGGCAACTGCCAATTGTCGATTTGTGGTGTTGGTGTTGGTGATGGTGCTGGAATGATGGTAGTGACTTTGTTTTCTTGGCACCTCAAAATTGCCATGTCGTGTTAAGTTCAATAATTCAAGGAATTTCATTTCTTTGTCCTTTTTCAATTGGCTTTCGTTGCTGTATCACAGTCGTTTTTTTCTGGTATGCTAATAATGATCGATAGAGGTTTGCGTGTAATAAACGATTTGAAAAAAAAAAAAAAAAAAACATTTGCAATTTTTCCGGACAATGACAATTTTTTTTCGAGACCAAGGTCTTTTCAAGACCAAGGCAAAAAATCCATAGAAACCCATTGGTCGTCACGTATTTTTGTAGGGGCTTATATGTGTATGAATATGTAATAAAGAACTGTGCTGACAGAAATCTTATTATAAAGACTTAAGCTACTTAGGAATCAATAAAAAAGAGCTATTTATGTACATAATGGAAGACAAAAATAGTTCAAATATAGGCCTTTAGAGGATCCTAAAGATTTTCCATCAAAGAGTATACAAAGTACATTTATTTTAAAAGAAAATTCATGTGCCAAAACTATAGTCAGAAAATTTCTATAAATAAATCTGAGCCTATTAAAACGAGGCGATGACATGTTTATACAATTAAATCGGTTAACCCTATTGGTCTTAGGTGGCGCTAAAAATAGCAGCAACAGATATGTTACTCTCCTGAGGCCCAAGAAGAGTATATATCGCATAATATATATTATAATATAAATTTGCCTAATGGTCTTTATGCAGAGAACTTTTATGAATTCAATAAGATAAAATTCAAACAAAAAAGTTATTTGCTAACAATTGTTTTTTTTTAATTTTTAGAAAGCAATCATTCTACTAGTGGCATTTTAAAAAGCTTAGCAGACTTTACAAGCTACATTACATCCTTGCACGATTACACCGAGATTATCTAATACCGACAGGTATTGGAGGTTCTCGTTAGCACAATTTTAAAACTTTTTCTCAACAACCACTTTCTTAGCAAGCTCCACATTCAGAGAAAGCTCCCCGCTAATAGCAAGGTTCAAAACCAAACAAGCTCCAAGTTATGATCTTCTCTCATGGCAAGCTGCACATTTATAACAAGATCTCCGCTTTTAAAAAGCTTCAAGCTCAAAAGAAGTTACACGCTCATAAAAAGCTCCCCGCGCATATCCAACTCCGAGTGCTCTAACAACAACCCGCAAATTTTCAAACCGACAGCGACCCGAATACCTCCGAGTCGAGTCGATGTGTTAAAATCCATCCTAGTAAGGAGGATAAAAACATGAAATCGAGATAAGATATATATATGAGGGATAAATCCGGACCCAATATATCCAATTTCAATACGGCTTGTTCTTGTGTCAATCAAACTGGATACTATGTTTTTATCTTAATCGGACACTGTGCTTTATCGCACAAGGCGTATTTAGCTATGTATGGACCTGGACTTAATGTTTTAAATCCTCCATCATTTGAAAACTTCACTTATGACAAAATTGACTTTCTTCAACATCCCTAAAATACTAAAATTCCATTATATGGGAGGCACATCTGTTTTGATAATATTTGGAGAAAATTAAAATTATCAACTAAAACCTGAAATTTTAAATTAAAACTGGTTTGGTAAAGATTTGGTAAAGTGAACCTACATTGAATATTTTTTGCAAGATGTTAAGCTATCCACTGCAAACCCGCTGCAAATTAAAGCTGACACTTTTTTGTGTTATTCGCCATTTTCTGATTAAACCACGTTAATTATGGATCTGAACTTAACGTTTTACAACCTCCACCATATGAAAATTTGATTTATGACCAAATCGGCCATAATCAACATTACTAAAATATGGAAGTTCTGTTTACCTATGTTGATTTTTTTCTGGGAAAAGTGAAACTATCTACTGAGAACCCGAAATGTAATATAAAAGCTGGTTCGGAAGGGAATTAGGAGCAATACCTTCGAAATACCGAAAATCTAGGTTTTACCAAAAAGTGAACCTACAAGGAGTCAAGCTACTCGCTGAAAACCTGACATTTCAAGTTGAATCTGACACTTTTTATTTTATTCGCCATTTTCATCTTAAGTCACGCTAACTATGGACCTGGTCTAACTTTTTTATACTGACCAACATATGAAGACCTGATTTATGACGAAATCGGCTATCCTAAACGTCGCCAACATATGAAAGATTATAATATAGAGTATATTAAATATTTTTGGGGCCTAAACGTAAATGCGGACTGATAAAGCTCATTTTAAATACCAAAAATCTTACACCTCTATTGATTTTGTATTGATTTCAATTGACGGACATGTATAATAATATTATTCTGATAACCAATATACGTATGAGATCACTCAAGGATGTTTTGAGGTGTTGCAACAGAAAACCAGTAAAGAAAGTATTAAATCCGGGCGGGTACCACTTTTTATTAAATGGTATACTAATTTGATCATGTTCAAAATTCCATATTATTTGGGCTGATATTACACGTTTGGTGCACAATTAAAAGCAAATCGGACGAAGTTATGGGAGCTATATCTAAATTTTGATCGATTATCTCCAATTTCAATATGGTTCGTTCTTGGGTCAAACAAATGATTTTTGCAAAGTTTCATCTGGAATTGTTTACAAAAATACATGGGCAGAGGGACGGACATGCATAAATGGACTCCGAATTTGATTCTATGCAGATCATCAAAGGGATCTCTGGGTCTATTTCGTTTCCTTGTTTCGATACTTCGAGGTTTTTAATATTCCATCCAAAAGTTAAGGGTTTTGAGTTCCATTTGCTTTTTGGGCCCAAGGTAATTTATTTTTATTGTTCACCCTTTGCATATTGAGTCATGGATTCAAATTGTCATTTTCTTGAAATTAACCCACAAAATTATTAGTTTGTTAAAAATATTTATTTACATATTTTTTATATTTATCTACCATTCAATTTTCCACACGAAAACACAAAAAAACCAAATGCAAAAATTACACGATTACAAATAAACAAATACATTATAATATTGTAGGAAGGAATGAATTACTTACCAGGCCTATCTAATTCATGAATTAGTTCATCCGGTTCCAAATATGAGGCTGCAGCTAATATGGAGGATGATGGTGAAGAGGATTGAAATGATGTTGCCGTTGATTGCGACCATATCGATGATGCTGCTGATGATGATGACGATGATGATGTTTTCATAACGAGATTTCCGATATTTAAATTGCGACCACCATTCGTTGAGAATATTAAACAAATGCCAAATAGCCACCACAGATAGTAGGTTGTTAGATCGTAATGCGAACGTTTGTGCCATGTCCCGCTGGGACGCTGTCGACGACATTGTTGTTGCCGTTGTTGCTGCTGTTGTTGTTGTTGTTGGTTGGCAGTAGTAATATTTACATGATTTTGCTGTTGATAATAATAGGACTGATGGTGATGGCTGTCGTGGTGGTGGTGCTGATGGTGGTCACTTGTATTATATAGTAGGGAAGTTTGTTCTTGTTGTTGGCAGTGTTGTGATTCCTTCTGATGGAGATGGTGATGATGGCGTTGATGATGATGGTGACAATGATGTTTCTGTTGTTGTTGTTGCTGATGGCAGGCAGTACATTTTGTACAATCTTTGATCATTGGTTTTGTGGGTACTGTTAGCTTATCTATGGTTGTAGCCGTTACAGCTGCCTCTGCCTCAGCGACTGCAGTATAACAGGAACAGGAAATAATAACCGCAGGAATCATTTTTAATTTGATTGTTATTATTTGTTGCTATTGTATTATTGTGCAAACTTACACATTCGTATACAACTGTCATACAAATACATACACATGTGAATTACCAGATGTGTGTATGTGAATCCCCTTAGAAAAAAGGCTTATGATATAGGATTTATATATATTTGGAGAGTTGTGTGGAGATGTTTTTTTGTTGCTTTTGTTTCTCCACGTCTTCCTGTTGGAGCTAGAAATTTATTAAATGCTAAATGTTTTCATAAATTCCTCTGTCATCGTTGTTGCAATTTTTTGTTTTTTTTTTTTTCTTTTTTGTTCGTTTTGTGTTCAGTTCTTTTGCCTTGTTGGCTATTGTTTGAAGCTATTCCCTTGTCTATCTCGGGAGTTGGTTTTTACTTTTTCTGCTGCTGCTGCTGTTGCTGCTTTGGTAGGGAATCAACAATAATTCTCATATGTGATTTCATGTACAGCATTGAATGCTAAAGTATGCATGCATGCATCCAGCACATGTGTTATTTGCTTGGTATATCCTCCCGTTTTCTGGGTTAGTTTCCGTTTCCGCCAGTGTTGAGAACCGCCAGTGGCTGTTTGAGCATTTCTTGCTCAAATTGGTATCCCTTTTCAACACACCTCTTTATACTCCAGAGTAACTGAATTTGTTTTTTTTTACAAATGCTTATTTTTTCTATTACTTTCTAGTCGTCGTCCTTGGCGGATTGATATTTGTTCAATGTATGTACACTGTTAGCTTTCTTCAGAGGTTTCACGTTCGACTGTGTAGACAGACAGATTGCCAGCCAGCCAGTCAGCGAGATAGTTATGTTATTTTTTGTTTCCTATATCCGATGTATGTGACATTCCAGGAAAATCATTTCATTTTGATGGCATGTTTCAGGTTTTTCTTATGGCATGTTTTGACGTTTTGATTCATGGCGGATTTTCGTTTTAACCTTCAGCTAAATCGAACGACTGCTTAGGTTTGACAATAACTTGCCATGCTTTCGAATGGCTGGCAATTTGTATGGAGTTATGTTGTGGCCTGTTGTGGTCTGGGCAACGGAAGTGTAGGAAATTGTATATTGTTTTGTCAACATATAAATTTGGCTATTTTAGTCAAATTTTATTATTTTTTCCTGTTATTTGTTTATGGTATAAACTCACATACATATATACACAGCGATTGGATTTTAATTTATGTTTAGTTTTCCGTTGTTGATATTATTTGTGTCTGATGATGTCGTTGTATTTCTGTTCTCTCGCTCTCTCTCTACCGCTCTCCCCTAGAGCTTTCCTTCCACCCATACAACCAGCCGCAATGATCATTCAATTTACTAAAACAATTCACAATTGTATCCTGTATTTGTCAATATTTGTTGTGGTTGTCTCTGATAGCACTGCAACACAAATTTCACACAGGAGCGTGGTAGAGTTGTAGTACCAACAAACGGAGAATACAAATAAAATGGAAAAAGAAGCCAGCAAAAACTGTAACGAAAACAAAAACATCGACCAGAATTTAATATTAATTTATTTTAAATGCTATTTTTATTATCAATAACTGTTATTATTGTTGTTGTATAGATGACAATAAAAATAAATAAATATTATTTTTGGGTAAATTTATATGCAGTTTATAATTCTAGTTGACTGCACGCACACAAGCAACCACTCAGTCATACCCAATGTGGGCTGCGAGTTTATTTATAAAGCTGTGAAAATATAGCTTTATGCATAAGATTTGGTGTATTTATTTGTACACAGATTTTTTTGGGTTTATATATAAACATTCTTTAGTATCTTGAAATTGAAATTTAATATGAAAAGATTAAATTTAAAATTTATTTTTTACATAATAATTATTTATTACAATAATTATTAAATTAATAAATAAAAAATTCGTAAAATAGTAGGAATAGAAAAATAGTAGAAAAAAAAAACAGATCTATTTAGTCTATTTGTTTTTGATGTATATAAGTATACATGCTATTTTTAAATTATTTTTATAAAGGCCATTTAAAACTACCAAACTAGATCTTTTCTATATGCTCAATTTGAACATTATATTAAAAATTTTGTAATTTTTCTAAAAGAAAAGAGGCTGAAGCTAAAATTTTTACATTTTGTGTTTGTCAGAGATTTTTTGTAACTTCCTATGTCAAAATATTTCACTTACGCAGAAACCTGAGAGGAATATGAAATTTATGATTTCGCAAAAAAAAAAAAAAATATAAATGTTCGAATTTCTTGTAATTTTGCCCATAGCAATATTTTTATACCCTTCACCACAAGGTGGTCAGGGTATTATGTCTTTGTGCATTTGGAAACGAGATAGACCCATAGTTCCTTTTGATGATCTGCATAGAATCACATTCTGAGTCGATTTGTATGTATTTTTGTGAACAAAGTGAAGTTCGCATTTATTATCCGATCCAGATAAAATTTTGCACAAATCATTTGTTTGGCCCAAGGACGAACTCTATTGAAATTGGAGATAATCGGTGAAAATTTAGATATAGCTCCCATATATATCTTCGTCCGATTTGCCTTTTATTGTGCATCAAATGTGTAATATCAGCCCGAATTGTATGGAATTTTGCACCCAAATTTGCCTGAAAATAAGTATGCCAAATTTGATCGAGATTGGTTCAGATATACCTATAGCCTCCATATATATTGTTCATCCGATTTGTTATTTTTGTTCTCCGCAACCGTAATATGTACTCCGCAACAACAATATTTAGGAAATTATGCCAAATACAGCTCTAAATGTTATTGAGATCGGTTCTGATTTGGATATAACGCCCATATATATCTTCGTCCGATTTGTCTTTTATTGTGCACCAAACGTGTGATATTAGCCCAAATGTGATGGAATTTGGTACTTACGATCATGTTGAGTCTAGAAACTAGTATGTTAAATTTGGTGAGTATCGGTTCCGATGTAGCTATAGCTCCCATATATATTGTTTATTCGATTTGTTATACTTGTTCTCCGCAACCGTAATATGCACTCCGTAACAACGAAATTCAGGGAAATACATCAAATTCAGCTCAGAAATATCTTTGTCAAATTTAATCGAGATCGGTTCAAATTCGGATATTGTGCACCAAATAGGTAATTCAAGTTCGAATTGAAAAGACACAAATGCCTCGGCAAGTTTAGCCCTTTGGACTTTAAATTATAACTATAATCATATTTGATATGATTTAATTCACACAATTTCCCCATAAGAACATTTATTTTTTATGTCTTTGCACTAAATGTGCAAAATTGTGTAGGGTATTATAAAGTCGGCCCCGTCCGACTTTAAGACTTTCTTTACTGTTTTTTTACAATTTGAATCATGGTTTCTTTTAAGAAGAATATAAAGAAATTTTTTTATGTTATTTATTTCCAAAAAAGACTTTTAAATGCTCTTTTATGGTTTGAAGACTATTAAAACTACTTGTAAGGGAAGTATCCCTCTAGGTAGGACTTCCATATTCCTAGGTAGGACCCTTGATAGGTTATTTATATCTCTCGAATCTCCACCTGACTTTGCAGAAAGCCTCCTTTTCATAGAATGTGGTGAGACAGAACATGAAATACATTTGATGGTGAATAATTAAATAAGCTTCTTTCTTTTTAAATGCAAATACTGCCACCGCCTTTTTCACAAATGCTGCAAAAAGGTCTAACAAACAAAATCAAGAAACTTATTATTTATTAAAAGCCGGCCATTTGTTTGATTTCGCCAAACAATTAACTTTATTCCCCCCCACCAAGACGATAACTATGTAAAATAAAATATGTTTTTGTCTGATAAAAAGGAAATGGAATTTATTCCCATTCCTTTGCCAAAGCTTACCCAGCACACACACTCAAAAACTCATTTACATAATTTCACAATAGTTCTTTATTTTTTGGCTGTAATAAAATTTAATCTGACAAGAAATGAAACAATAGAATAACATATGTTTATACAATTGTTTGTAACACGCCCACTATGTGGTGGATGGCATTAATATGCGGCTGCTTGAGTGTGCGTTAAGCAATTATGTAAAAGCCACAAACATTTATGTTTGCCGAAAAACACAAACTATCTCACACACACACACCCCAATACACGACAAGTACATTTAAATAATTTACAAATTCCTGTGTTCGCATAAATGAGGGCGCAGGAGGGATTCCTCAAAATAACACTAGTTTGAATTTAAGTGTGTGTTTGTATGTGCATTGAAGTTTCCTTTTGTCTTGGGAAAATATCGAAGGCAAGAAAAAAAATCGTACCCGACGAAAACAATAAGAAAAGAAATAAGGCGTAAAATAAACAGCATGTAAGAAATATGTATTTTTAACACTCTCACAAGTGTTTTATGGTTATGTGTGAGTGTGTTGTAATAGTGGCAGTAGTTGTGCGGGGTTAGTTTCGAAAGGAGTGAGAAACAAATTCCCCACCTTCCCCATTCTATTTCACAGCTATTTCACATGCATATGTATGAGTGTGCTTGTATGAAGGTGGCTTACTTAATAATGTATTGTTGGTAATAACTATTTGGCAAATGAGTGTGCCAAAGTATAACAAAACTGCGGTTGTGTCTGTGTGTGTGTGTGTTTGCTGTTTATAAGTAACTCACTTATGCAAGGGTTTTTGTGTATGTATGTGTGTGGATCAGCAGCTTAAACTCTATTGTGGTTATTATTGCTGTTGTTGTTGCTGTTTGTATCGTGGTTAAAACTTTTTTAAACCAATTGACTGTAGTAGTACCACAGCGTTACATTCGTCGTTGTTGTTATTGTTGCTGTTGTTCTCTACGTAAAAATGCGTGCTACTCAAGAGTTTAGTAAACCGGATATTATCGAAGATGTATAGCGGAAGCATATGTTCTGAGTGTGTGTAACGAAAAACATGCGTTGTTTACGTTCGCACAAACAACACAAAAACTACAATTTACTTGTTTGGCAAGTCTTTGCCAAATAGTTGGTAAAAGTTTTAAGTTACCTTCCTCCGTCAGCTAGTAGCTAAGTCGTTGAACTAGTTAAAGCAATATTTGTTGATGTGAAAATAAAGTGAAATTTCATGGGTTTTTAAGGAACTCTACATTATTTGTTTAAAGAAAAATAAATTTTCATAAATTATTATTCTTAGGAAAATACCTGTTTGACAGGAGCTGAGAAGTGATGTCAAATATAGGTCATGTCGAAACTATGTTTAATATTTTAAATATTCAATTTGTGAGAGAGAAAACAAAAATCTTTCATATTTAAAGCTCTAGGGTAAATGTATTTTGCAAGTATATTTTCTAAGGTGTCGACCCTAGTTCTTACTTTCCTTGCAGTTTAAGATCCCATGTAAAAGCTAACGTAAGATCGAACATTATTGAGATTTTAGACTACATACTGACCAAATAAAATGACCATATTTAGGCGAAAAGCAAATCAGTCTGTATATACGTCTACGTTAATATAAACGTGCCACGGAACAATTCTTTCTCAGATTTCATAAAAAAAAAAAATGGGAATTAGAGTTACTGATGGAGTGCAGGATGGATGTACCAAAGGGCTGTTGGAAATTCGAACTTTAACGCTACGAAAAGTTCTAAAAATTTGGTATAATGTATGAGAATCATGGCTGGAAAACTCATTTTGATATATGAAGGTTGTTCTGGAAATGTGTCTAAGTGTGCAAACTGTACTAAATAGTACTAAATTTGGAACAGTTTGGTTTAGGGAGAACGGATAAAGCTGAAACTTTGAAATTTTATATTGCGATCCCTTTTAACAGCATGCTATATGATGAAGAGTTGGTTTTTGAAGCGTACGAATAGTACTAAATAGTACTATGTTTGGTACAAGTTGGCATTGGGTGAACAGATAGCGCTGTTAGTTGGATTTAGGGTCGACTTTCATGTATAGCATGGATATGTGTACTATAATTGTACAAAAACCAGTAAAGAAAGTCTTAAAGTCGGGCGGGGCCGACTTTATGATACCTTACACCACTTTGCTAATTTAGTAGAGCTCCAAATAACAATTAAAAGTTTTTATGGGAGAATTCAATCATACACGCTATGATTATAATTATAATTTAAAGTTCAAAGGACTAAATATGCCGAAGCATTTGTATCTTTTAAATTCGGACTTGTATTGCCCATTTGGTGCACAATTAATTTGAAATCGGGTAAAAATATATATGGGAGCTTTATCCAAATCGGAACCGATCTCGATAAAATTTGGCAAAGATATTTCTGAGCTGTATTTGATATATTTCCCTGAATATCGTTGTTACGGAGTGCATATTACGGCTGTGGGTAACAAATATAACAAATCGGATGAACAGTATATATGGGAGCTATAGCTGTATCTGAACCGATCTTCACCAAATTTGACATTCTAGTGCTGTTATTTGGATTTAGGGTCGATTTTCATGTATAGCATGGATATGTGCACTATAATTGTACGAAAAATACTTAACGGTACTAAATTTGGTCCTGGTTGTAAA